CTATTCTGACTACTAGGTCTAATCAGGACGGGCCCTACAGTCTAACGTGGAGCTTCCTTCCTCTGGAGCACTTCCGAACCACAGTCATCAGTTACACAGAAACTTTGAGCGTGCACCCTTTCAGGGTACTACCTGTTGTTCCTGTTGGTGCAACCTACCGACTAGAGTGTGTTCCTAGGTCCCCTTTTTCCCCCACGGTATACCCGATACCATCCGACGTGAATGGGGGGAGGACGAAGATACATTTTGCACTTTTTTCTAGGTAGCCACTAAATGTCCGATCGAAAATAATTTTCGGTCTGGTCAAAATTCGAACTAGTCTACCCAGCGACGTTGCCCATGTAGTCGAGCCATCTCATGGTAATATTTAGCATTAGCAGTTATTCTGGAGAATGGTGTCAAAACCAATAATGACAAGTCTTGACATAAACTTTTTTCTTTTCCTGGTGATGTACTTAGTTTGCCGCACAATAAAGTGAGAAAGGAATCATTATCAGTTTTAGTGAATAAGAGACTAGCCAGTGCGGATATATAATTTTATAAAATGCTGTTTTTTGGTCGTCTGCAGAATCATATTATACTACTAATGCATTGAAACACAGAGTCGGTGCCAAACATTACAGATGCTATACGGGTTCTCTCTTCTCAAGACACCATTGCACCTAACACTACTGCTACGTGCAATACATTCTGCTGAATCAGATGGTGCTTCATTCCCGTTAGAAATGACATCAGTCGAGTTCCGAATTCTGTCAATAATGACGAGATTCGTCGTGCAATTTATACATTTAAACATGGTTCTGCTGGTGCTTTTGTTGATTTATGACCTAACATATAAAAGACTTGACTTTGGATGGTAATAACAATTCTTCTGCGCACTTGTTATTCGCTATTAATGGTGTAGTCGATTTAATGATCCGAGGGAAAGTTTGTGACAGTATTTATAGCCTACTCTACAGAGTTTGAATATGCGCTCTTATGAAAAAAGATGGAGGAATTATGCCAATAGCAATCGGAAATACTATGTATAAGAAGAAAAGTAGTCAGCAATTGTGTTTAATGTTCAGTTGGATCTAAACTTCGCTCTTTTCAATTAGGGTATGGCAGCAAAGATGGTGCTGAGAATATCGTTCTTTTATAAACGAGAAAGATAACCTAGAATGTCGTATTTTTCTGAAACTAGATTTCCGGAAAGTTTTTAACTATGTCAGCACCTCAACCTCAGCTTCACATTGATCCAAATGTTCCAGTCATAGCACAGAAATGTCGGAAAGTACCATTCTATTTATAGGAAAACGTTGAAGAAGCAATAAATAGACTTGAAGAACAGAACATAATACAGTTGAAGAACCAACTTCATGAGTCTCGCCTACTGTTATTGTTCCTTAAACAAGGAAATCCTAAAAATATTAGAATATGCATAGACATGAGAAACCTTGAGAGAACGCCATTTAACACCAACTGATAACACAACTAAATGGTTCCAAAATGTTCAGCAAACTCGATTTGAAGGATTGATACCATCAACTTAGCCTAGCACAAGTAGCACAACAATCCAGGGAGGTACATAACAATGTTTTCAACCCATTTTGGATTATACAGATACAAAAGGTTGAGTTTGATGTTTTGGATTGAACCAAAACTTTCGTGATTGAACATTTTTGCTGGAAACTAGTGAATATATATCCAAGAAAGAGCTATAGCACCAGGCTCTTGGTGTTGAATTTATATTTTTTTCTCTAGAAGTTCAAGAGGTGGAGCCAGCATTGCTTGATCCATAATTGAGTATTAAGTTTCCCAAAGTTGAGGAGTGATGAATTGGAATAATTTTATATATAAGGATGTTTGAAAAAAGTTGTCTATTTTCACCGATATGAAAGTTAATGAAGATAATGGGATAATTAAAAACTGCTGATCTAATTCATATCGGAAGTTATCGATCTGCTTAAAAACCTTTTAAGCCTAATGGCGTCAAAAGCGGGTTTTGCGCAATCAGTAGACTAAAGCGTATTTCACCCAATGACATTGATTTCACCCCGTGACAAATAATGCAAAGAAGTTCAACGAGTTTATCCAGGAACAAGGTTGGATTTTTCCATTTTCAATAAATCCTTGTCCTAGTCTTCCAACAAATCTCGATTCCAGAGCCAGTCTTGCGCCCTTGCGGATCGTCAAAAAGAAGAGTTGAAAATCAAGTTGCCGACGATGGAAAATGTTCAAGGAGTTATGATCATAATGTTGATCATAACTTCTTGAACATTTTGTATCGACTTTCACGGAGATCAGTTCACGATCTGATTGAAGTTTATTCTATTTCTTTCCTTTGAAAACCTCCAAGAGTGTAATCTACTCGGCACTTCACAAAACCCTCAAATGCGATGTCGACAGAGTCACATATGTCATAATGCAGGTGGATGGCAGCATGTTAGACGAAAACGTCGTTTCATAGTTGGAAGAAATGAAAGCTCCAAGTTTGTATAGCTTCATGACTTTAGGCTTCAACCTAATACAAAGCCTGAGAACCTCAAACAAATATTAACTGCTAATTTTCCAGGAGTTATTTGTGAGCCTAATGAGAAATATATGCATCTATGAGAGTCACTATCAGAAGTAACCAGCTAAAGGATGCATGGAAAACGGATGTTTGGCCTAGCGGTGCAATAGTTACCCAGTTTTTCATGAAAAGGAGAATGTTGCCCTAGGAGGATCCTCCAAACCTAAAAAAGCAGGAAATTAGCATCTACTATCAGAATGTAAGGGGACTCCGAACTAAAACCAAAGTGTAATGTCCTACGAGTATGACATAATAGCAGTAACTGAAACCTGGTTGACAGCAAGTATCTTTGATGCTGAACTCTTTGATCACAGGTATAACATAATAAGAAGAGATCGTGATGGTGACAATTGCCGAGCTGGTTGAGTCCTTGTGGCACTACATAAAAAGTTTCAGTTTGAAAACATTGAGGTAACCTGTGATATTGAATCTGTGTTATTAGAAATGAAATACACAAACTCTTCCTTTTTCATGTCTTATGCATACATTCCATCAAGTATGCCCTATGATATTTATGATAAATATTTTAATAATCTTCAAGACATTCTGGATAATGACTGTGATATTTTAGTATTAAGTGATATGAGCATACTTAATATTGAGACTGATAATAATTGTGATAAGAGTGTTTTGATAGAAAATTTTCTTAATCTTAATAACCTACAACAATACAATGATGTAACCAACCATATGGGTATAAAACTGGATGTTGTACTGTCTAATATGGATGTTGTTTATGTTTCTCGAGCTGATGCGTTTGTTCAAGAACACCCGTACCATCCATGTCTTTCACTAGGTCTTAGCTATGAGTTTCATCCATGTTATGTGTCGTCTGATATTTTCAAGGCTTACACGTATGATTATGCCAAGGGTTGCTGTTATACAGATTTCTTCAATTCAGTGATTGGTCCACAATTGAACGACTCTCTGATCTTGATTCCTGTGTTGATGCATTTCGTGACATCGTGATTTCTTGTATTGATAAGTGGATCCCCAAAAAGGCAGTTGTGGCTTCGAAGAGAGGCAAATGTAAATATCCAAAGTGGTTCTCCATGGAACTGATACGTAACATCAGATATAAATACAACAGACTGAACAGGCTAGTTATAAAGAATAAAGCAAGTAACCTTCAGGTGCATTGAACACAAGAATCTTAGAGATGCAATCAACAAGCAAACTGCCGATGAGTATCATTTACACCAATTGTGACTGGTGCAAAATATTAAAAATGATCCTAACAGCTTCTGGGGTTTTATACGTTCAAGAAGCAAAAATAGGGGTACCCAATGAGATATCCTGGAAGGATGAGGTTTATCAAACATTGCCAATGCCTTTGCATGCTATTTTTCATCTGTTTATGAGCCTTCATCTCAGAATCTAACCAACGAGGAAGACTGGTATCCTGCTTGGGATGATTTTCAGTTTCCTGTAAGTGCTGAAGTGGTTGACTCTGCCATCAGGAAACTAAAGTCCAAGAAGTCTACTGGAAGTGACAATATACCTACCATCTTACATATACAAGGGATGTTCAGAATTTTTGGCAAAACCTCTATAGCACATCTTCAGCGTACCTATCCATTAAAAATAACACTTTTCCAGACAAACTTAAGACTGCTATTGTAACAGCAATTCATAAAGCTGGAGTAGTCAGTAATATTGAAAATTACAGACCTAGTAGTGTGTTAAACTCCTTGGCTAAAATTTTTGAAATAATTCTTTATGAAAATATCAAGAATCATACCGAAAACAGCATCGAATAGTCTTGCCAACTACACTAAGAAAACAAGCTATTGAACTAGCACACAAGGAACATTTAGGTATCACCAAAACCAAACACTTACCAAGAACAAAAGTTTGGTTTCTAAATCCAGATACTTTGACAGAGGTATTTATGAAGACATGTCCTCCATGTCAAGCTGTCATTAAAACCAACCAGAGAAATTCTGTAATATCCATGCGCATTACCAGACTATCCGTATCAATCTCGATATCAATGTTGATTACGCAGGTTCTTTTCTTAAGAAGAAGTATATTTTTATTGCTGTTGACGAGTACTCAAGGTACCTTATAGTAGAAGTAGTTAACTCAACATCTGCAACCAATATTTCAAAACATCTTTACTACCTACTTTTGCTTTTCCGAAGACTTTTAAATCAGACAATGGTCCCCCTTTCAATATTTCTGAATTGACAACATAGCTATGATATTCAGCATAAACAAAATAACACCATACTGGCCAGAAGCAAATGGAATGGCTCAGAGATTGGTAAAAACATGTATGGAAAGCGATTTTGTTCTCTGGATTTCTCTTGCATTTGTCTTGCACTAAAGATCATGTCAGCTGTACATACCTAGGTTGGGTCTAAATTCACATGGTGTCTTTAGGCAGTTGATGGAAATTCCTAACCATTCTGGCAATTTTCACAGATTAAATTTTTGATTCTAGGTTAGCGCTTGGATAACTCAACTAATAATCTCTCAGCCAACTCACGATGCCAGACGAGCTGTGGTATCCTGCGTGCTACGAGTGGCCTTGTCCTCGTGGAACATCGGAAATTTCAATGGAGCAATGGAAATTATCGCCGGTCTCAAGTAAGCATGTTGCCTTGAAATTTATGTATTTTCTTTTCGCAGGCAGGGGAAAAATGCGCCGTCCTTCATGTAGTAGCGAGATAATTTAAGTTCCGCGTTAGATAATTTTTCGTGGAAAATATAAATTTTCCTTGTCAGACGAGGGTGGCTGTTATAATATAAGAGCTGACATAGTTTATTTTAAAAGTAAGCCCGTTCAAATAAACTCTTACAAAGGCAAAAATCTAGAGAATTTGTGGGATCAAAAACCACAAAACCGTTTGAAATATACAACTTACAATGATAACGGCAAAAAGCGAGTTTTCGGTATAGTATAGTTTAACATAAATCCATATTTCATGACCCCGAACTGGTGTAAACTTTGTTCGGGGGTGGAATTTATAAGTCAGGTGCTTGTTCGGCATGGAATAAATAATTTCCAGTTTTATTGCGACGTTTACTAAAAATTATCCCTAAACACGTGTCCGATCCTTTCTAGCCCGAAAAAGTTTCCAACAGATATCGAATTTTTATCCATATAATGTTTTGAGTGCATTTCGATGTAAGCATCTTTATAGTGAGGCCAGGTGCTCACAAATTCAAATTCCCATGCAGTGTAAATATTTTATATTTGACTTTTGAAGCAATTGCAAAAATAAAACTCCTTATCAGCGGTTTCAGAATTGGAGTTTTAACGGCAATGTCTTTGCAGGTTTTACAATTTTCTCGCCCCATAAAAACTGATAAAACCGCGCTTCGCATTCACATCGATTTCACATTATACGAGAAAAAAAAAAAAAAAAAGAAAACGGGGCAAGATTTTTCACGCGAGTTAAGCAGGCACCATCCGAGCCTAAAGTTAAATTTCGCCTGTCAAGAAAATTGCCTTTTAAGCTGACTGACTCTGTTAGCGTTGAATAAAAGGCATTGGATTAGAGTTAATAATATAAGGAAGATGAAAATTTCTCTGATCTATTAATCATAATCAGGTCTCTGGAGGTTTAACATCAATGAAAAAGATTCGCAGTCTTAAGAACAGGGGTTTCTTTCGGCCTCCAGCAGATTTGAGAGTTGTAGGCCGGCGGAAACTACTTGCTTTTGAGGCAGGCAATTCATCTAGAACAACAACGAAGAACTGGGATCATAATAGTAGAGTGACCAACGCAGTTAAAGCCTTCTAAAAATGAGTCTTGTATGGGCGCGTCGGGGTTACAGGCTGAAACTTGCATAGAATGAAGGTTTTACTATGCTAATTCAAAGTACCAAGCAGGGGCGGATGGGGAGCACCGGCCCGGGAAACCAGATTTTTATTCCAAATCGAAAAAATCGGGGTGGACTGTGGACTGTTTTTTCTGGGACACCATGTATATGCTTTCGGGCTGGTCCAACGTCCAAGCGGCCCTTCGAGAAACTTCCGTAATTCCTGCCGGTCCATCCGCCCGTGGATTTGTGACGTCATAGGTAACGTTTGTGTGTATAAACGTTTTCTTTTGACCCCTATCGGAAGTGGGGTTATGTGTGTGACGTCAGCTAATACCGAGGAGTAAACCACTGAGCAAAACCTGTACACCAGATACAAGTACCATAGATATATGCTATATATATACAAATTTTGACTTTATATAAGTTACTGTTCAAGTACAAATGAGTGGATTGTTGCGGAACTCATAGGTGGACCTCTGCGGGACGAGCGCAGCGAGTTCCGCAGCCATCTACTCACCAATATACTGTTGAACTGTTCAAGTAAGATACTCGCCTGAAAGGTGTAGTTTTTTAACTAATGAGAAAAACACACAACTTAGTGGATCAGGTTAGTATTGTACTTGAACAACATATTAGTAAATAGTAATATTGTACTTGAACAACATATTAGTAAATGATGGCAGAGGTCCACCCATGGGTTCCGCAACAATTCACTCGTTTGTATTTGAATAACTTGTAAAATTATGTTACTAGTTTGGTAAAGTTACATTACTAATTTCTGTTGAAAGGCAAATTGACAAAAAGTGAATAATCTTACAAATTTTGACTTCATATAATAAGTTATTGTTTAAGTACAAATGAGTGGATTATTACGGAACTAATGGGTGGAACTCTACAGCCATCTAGTTACCTATTTACTGTTGAACTGTTCAAGTAAGATACTCACCTGAAACGTGTAGTTTATGAACTAATGAGAAAAACTCACAACTTTTTTTTAATCAGGTTAGTATTGTACTTGAACAACATATTGATGAATAGATGGCTGCAGGACGAGCGCAGCGAGACAAAAAGTGGAAAAATTTACAAATTTTGACTTTATATAATAAGTTATTTTTCAAGTACAAATAAATATATTATTGCGGAACTTATGGGTGGACCTCTGCGGGACGAGCGCAGCGAGTTCCGCAGCCATCTACTCACCAATATACTGTTGAACTGTTCAAGTAAGATACTCACCTGAAACGTGTAGTTTTCCAAATAATGAGAAAAACATACAACTTAGTGGATCAGGTTAGTATTGTACTTGAACAACATATTAGTAAATAGATGGCTGCGGAACTCGCTGCGCTCGTCCCGCAGAGGTCCACCCATGGGTTCCGCAACAATTCACTCGTTTGTATTTGAATAACTTGTAAAATTATGTTACTAGTTTGGTAAAATTACAGTACTAATTTCTGTTGAAAGGCAAATTGACAAAAAGTGAATAATCTTACAAATTTTGACTCCATATAATAAGTTATTGTTTAAGTACAAGTGAGTGGATTATTGCGGAACTAATGGGTGGACCTCTACAGCCATCTACTTACCTATTTACTGTTGAACTGTTTAAGTAAGATACTCGCCTGAAACGTGTAGTTTTTGAACTAATGTACTAAATGTACTTGAACAACATATTGATGAATAGATGGCTGCGGGACGAGCGCAGCGAGACAAAAAGTGGACAATCTTACAAATTTTGACTTTATATAATAAGTTATTTTTCAAGTACAAATAAATATATTATTGCGGAACTTATGGGTGTTCCGCAGCCCTATATTCACCAATATGTTGTTCAAGTACAATACTAACCTGATTCACTTTGTTGTGAATTTTTCTTATTAGTTCAAAAACTACACGTTTCAGCCATCTATTCACTAATATACTGTCGAACTGTTCAAGTAAGACACTCACCTGAAATATGTAGTTTTTGAACTCATGAGAAAAACTCACAACTAAGTGAATTAGACTAGTATTATACTTGAACAACACATTAGTGAATAGATGGCTGCGGAACTCGCTGCGCTCGTCCCGCAGAGGTCCACCCATAAGTTCCGCAACAAAACACTCGTTTATACTTGAATAATCTGTCACAATATAGTACTAGTTTGGTAAAGTAACATAACTAATTCCTGTTGAAGGCAAATTGACAAAAAGTGGATAATCTTACAAATTTTGACTTTATTGTTCAAATACATCTCCTGACATCCTTGGACATCCCCGGAAATCCTTGGACATCCCCGGAAATCCTTGGATATTCCTGAATATTCCCAAGCTTGTACACCAAACATTCCCAGCGTTTCAAACCTCGGCTAGTGCCTGATTGGCCAGTTACTGGATACGTGTAAATCGGCATATACTTTTACATAACTTGTTGAATAATGTGCCTATACTGTATAGAATCCTGTTCTTTTTTTTTATTACGTTAACTTTACATTAGATTAAATATACAGGGTGCACCAATAATAATTCTTCTACGAAAAAATGGTGCTCCATGTATTTTTCTTTTATTGTGGCACTGTATACAATGAGAAAAATTTGTATTTATTAATTCACTTCCAAATTGGCAAAGTGAATTACATGTACTGACACCCAATCAATTTTAGATCAGACGAAATCGATATAAAGGAGCACAAATTGTCGGTTTTGAAACAATCGCCGAGGCGTAAAAAAATGGGCAAAAAGACAAAAAAAATCGTAACTGTACGCGTCAAAACAGAAAAACTCAAACGCCCCAAAACCCAGCCAATGCCCGTAGATCTGCTGGACGAACCAATCGAGTGCACCACGACCTACAAAAACAACGTAATTTTTGCTTTGCACTCGATAACCCACAGCGAAGACAATAAGTACTCGTGCCACTTTTACCCGTACAAAAACACTTCTTAGTACCACATCGAAATGCACGTGCGCGCACATGAAGGTACCACCAAACACAAATGCGAAGTGTGCCAAAAAGCCTTCGCAGTAAGCACGCATGCAGTTGAACACAAGTTCTACCACACAGGCGAAAACCCGTTCCAATGCGAAATATGCGGCAAAAATTTCATGTTTTCAAGATTCCTTGCCGCACATAGACGCTCGCAGCATTACGATATCCCATTAGTAAAATTCGACTGTAAAATCTGCCAAAAGCATTACGCTTCAGCATCAGGCCTGTGACGTCACAAACTCAGCAAACACAACGATTCAGTCTTATGCGACATTTGCGGCGAACGCTTATCCAAGTAATGCGGACGAGGCTTTACGCAGCGTACTCCGTTGAAAATTCACGAGCGGACGCACAGCGGCGAGAGACCGTACGGGTGCGCGTGCTGCGGCAAAGGGTTCGTCACAAAAACGTCGGTCAATTCGCACATTAAGAGTTGCGGAAACGCGTCCGTGTCCGCTTTTGCGGCCGGATGGATGGGAGACCCGAGCTTTCCGCAGTTGACTCAATTTTCGTAGATTGGACAAGCTTCGAAGATTTTTCCCGTGCAAAATATTTTTAATAAAGGGTCATTTACATCCACCAAAACGCACGGAGAATTATTGATGAATAAAATTAACGTGACGCACAGAAAAGTTGCAAAGTTGGGCCAATTTCAACTTAAGAAAATCCTTGAGTTAAGTTCTGTTTCTGGACATATAATTTGACTTGACTATTGAAGTTATAAGCGCGCGTGCGTCACGTGAGAAAATTAACTTCTCAGTTAAATTAAATAGATGTAAACGACCCTTCAGTCTGTATAATAAGATTTTGTTGGGACTGGGACACACTTTATACAGGGTGCGAGTTGCCAAGCGGGTTAAATTTAGAAAAAAATATTATTTTTTTGAAATGTTTTCACAGTTTCATTGTTTCAATTTTTGTCTATTCCCGGCTCTTGGCTCGCTGTCTTTAGGGGCGGATGGGCAGCATAAAACCGGCTCGGGAAACCAACCTCAATTGCTCGGTAACGGTTGAGCAAATTGCATTAAAATTTACAGAATTTGTAGCTTCTATCAAGTTCTGAATGGCTTGTAATTTACAATATTTCCAGATTTATAGTTTTTGTGCAAATTGAGTTTGAAGTTTTTAACAAAATTTAGACTAAAAGTTAACTTTGAGGCTCAATTGCTCAAAAACTGTTTGAGCTATCACACAGATTTATAGAGAATTTATTGTTCTTTACAATGATATGTATAATTTTATTCAATTTGCTCAAAATTTAACAAAGATATGGGCAATTATTCATGACCATGTCAAGATTTTGAAATTCTCCAGAGCTAAAAGTAGGATTTTATTTTTATTTTTGTTTCTGCTTAAAATGGCTATCAAGAATTGATGTCAGGGCTCTTTTTCACTAATTTTGACCCGCTTTATCGAATAATGAAGTCAAAATTGAGCAACACTGAAAAATAAAAAAATCCAGGTTTTCACAACGGTACCCCCTTTGAATTCTGATTTCAAAATATTCAAACCTCAATTGCTCGGTATCGGTTGAGAAAATTGCCTTAAAATTTACAAAATTTGTAGCTTTTATCAAGTTCTAAACGGCTTGTAATTTACAATATTTCCAGATTTATAGTTTTTGTGCAAATTGAGTTTGAAGTTTTTGATAAAATTTGGACTAAAAGTCAACTTTGAGGCTCAATTGCTCAAAAACTATTTGAGCTATCAGACTGAATTTTGCACAGATTTATAGAGAATTTAATGTTCTTCCTAATGATATATAATTTTATTCAATTTGCTCAAAATTCAGCAAATTTATGGGCAATTGTTCATGACCATGTCAAGATTTTGAAATTCTCCAGAGCTAAAAATAGAATTCTCTTTTTATTTTCGTTTCTGCTTAAAATAGCTATTTGGAATTGATGTTAGGGTTATTTTTCACTAATTTTGACTCGCTCTATCGATTAATCTACCATTACGAAGTGTATGACAACAGTCATAAATTATACGTTCATGCAATAATCTCAATTTTTACATATAGTGCCCTTTTGCTCGTTCTAATTTTGTATTACCTCCGGATTTGGAATTAACATAATAAAACCTTAATTCTGTGAAAATTTCAGCTTGTAACTCCACGCGCGTGAAATATATTATAATGAGCACTCTACTATAGGCTACTAAGCATCAAATACAACAAAACTTTCTCATTCCAGATCGAACAAACTCAAACCCTTTTGGCTCTCGATCACCGAAAAAGACACTCTGCCCATCCTCAACTTCCTATCGGCAGCCCTACTGTCAGCAGAGTATGAACGAGCCCTTAGCCGAGCTCTCGCGATGGCCGAGTGTCCAGTGGTACCCTTTTTCGGAGCATTTTTACGAGAACTCAGAGAAATATTGTCCAGCAATACACCGGAACCCGGAATGCCTACAGGGAAACCACCCAAAGGACATAGTCGAGCTGAACAGGCCCAACAAAGACAAGTGGTAGGTGAGAATTATTATTTTGTTAAAAGATGAAAAACGCATTCTATTAAATTGTAAATATGTTTGGAAAAAAGGTGCGTTCCCTTGGGGCCTACTTGACAAAAAAAAAGTGAGATTCAATTCAAAGGTACTTTGACCGTGAGGATTTAATTTTTGCCTTTCAGTATCAAAAAGGGCCTTTTCAATGAATAATTTAATAGAGGATTTTCCATTTAAAAAAAATATGCGTGTCGTATTATGGCAAAGTGTGAATAGTAAAGGGGAGAAACAAAAATAATCAATAGATAATTTTGTATTGCAGAAGTTTTCTAGCAATAAATTTATTACGTCAAAATTTATAAAAAATATTACAAAGTGCTTGTCGTAACCCTTAAAACAGATGGACCGCCTGTTTCACGGCTGCTACCCTCTTGTGGATCGTAAATCCTTATTATATGCCTGGAAGTAGGGTATATTGAAATAGGTTAGTGCAGCATAAGGCACACACTTATATTAGAATTAATGATGAAATTTTACAGTCGAATCTAAAAAGAATCTTCATATTTCTTGTTACTTTAATAATTATACCGTTTCCTATATTTTTTCTCCATTTTAATTCTAAATTTAGCAACGACAAGCAGCAGTTCGGTTTTATGTCAGCACCAGCGGTTGTCACAAAATCTTTTATTCACTGAGGGTTTGGATCTTGAATTTGACTTAAAAAAAGTAGAAATATAACAGGAAGTTTACGTAAGATTTTTTTAAATAGAATAATATCGCCGTTGTCAGGTGTTTAATGCAAAAAATTCTTGTCTCTGCTTTCAAGGGCATTATGCAGTGGTTCCCAACCGTTTTTTAGTCACGACCCTTTTACAAATTTGCTCATAAAGTCCCCTCAATAAATAAAAAACAAAAAATCTCTATTACAATATTAATATTTCGTAACTGATTACAAAAAGTCATTTCTTGGGGTTCTTGAGTTTTGTTAAAAAGAAATGAAAAACCACTTTCACGAAAGTAAGTAGAGACCAGGGTAGCCAGACGTCCCGATTTAGGCGGGACAATCCCGATTTTTAGAGATATTTCCGAACCGTCCCGATTCACGAATTGAATGCCAAATTTTCCGATTTTTAAAAATGTAAGGAAATATATCTCGATTTCCGGCCGACAACACCCTTTTAGGCTGTTTTTTTTCCCATCCGCTGACTCGCTTTTTCAAAGTTAAAATCTGGCAACCCTGCATGTCAGGTCGTTTGGTATAAAAAATATATATATTACAGATTCTGTATTACCGGTCCAATGTGGTCAGGCCTTAAATATTGTCGTACGTTACCTTTACTTAATGCGGTTTCGAGTTTTTCAACAACAAAGTTTTGTATTACTGGCCCAATGTCCAATGTTGTCATGTCAGGCCGTTTGATATAAAAAAAAAAATACATAATTTTGTATTACCAGTTCAATGCTGTCAGGCCTTGAAGGTACGAAAATATTGCAGAGTTCTATTTTATCGACTTCAATTTGAAATTGACGAAAAATGACACTGATGACTCGATTAAGCTATCGGTGTTGCCACATGATAAAATTCAAATTTTGGAAGAGCCGAGAATAATTAAAATTTGAATTTTAAAGCCAATCAAGAACTGGAAAGCGGCGTTGTCAAATGATGAAAATAATTTCAAAAAATGAAAAAAACAACCTCAAATTAGGCGAAAATTTCCTAAAAATAATAAATTTCCCTTGAAAATCCTTGGAAAACTTGTTTTTAAATAAAAGTTTCTGTCACTTACCTCGATTGGAAAACTGGAAATCCCGGAAAAGTGGATAGTTCGCGAAAAAACCGGAATAAAAAAACTCAAAATGGCCGACTGTCAAATGTGAAGTTGGCCACAAAGCAGTGTTGCCAACTAAAGAAAAATCGTATTTTAGTGAAAAAGCTGATTTTTAAAACTAGAAATTCCCTAAAAAGTTGTTTTTTAGTGATTTTTTTTTTGCGGGCGGAACACGGAAATTTTTGGCTGAAAATGAAGAAAACTCAAAACCTCGTACTTAAAATCGGTTTTCCCGACCAAAAAAGTCCTGGAAAAGCGGAAAATTTGAAGAAAAACCTCTAAAAAGGACATTCTAAAGTGCCTACTTGATGAAACTTGAGTTTTTGTCACTTACCTTATTGGAAAACTTAAAATTTTTGGCACAAAATGAAGGAAATTCAAAGCCTCGTATTTGAAACCGGTTTTCCCTAGCGAAAAAACTCTGGAAAGGTGGAAAATCCAAAAAAAAAAAACCTCTAAAAAGGACATTCCAAAGCCTACTTGATAAAACTTGAGTTTTTGTCACTTACCCCATTGGAAAACTAGAAATTTTTGACACAAAATAAAGGAAACTCAAAGCCTTGTATAGTGTTTTTAATTTCAATTGAAAAACTAAAAAAACATCTAAGCCGTTTTCTCGTGTCCACTTTTTTGACATTGGTTCAAAACAGGTTTGAAACAGACAATGGTGTTTCCATTGACTCTTTCAAACTGGTTTTAAACCAATGTCAAAACAATGGACGCGAGAAAATGGCTAGATGTTTTTCTAGTGTTTCAATTGAAATTAAAAATACTATACTTAAACCAGTTTTCCTGATTGAAAACGACCTGGAAAACCAGAAAATCTGAAAAAAAATCAGGATAAAAACACTGAAAATGGCCGACCGTCAAAGCTAACAAATGACTTACTTACTTGATTAAAGTTAGCCACAAGCGGTGTTGCTACATTAAAACTTCCAGAAAAAGTATTTTAAATGAGATTTTGCTAAATACTGCATTTAACAATGAAAAATTTTGTTAGAAAATGAAGAAAACTCAAAGCCTTGTACTTAAAACCAGTTTTCCCGACCGAAAAAGCCTTGGAAAAGTGGAAAATTAAAAAAAAAAAACTCTAAAAAGGACTCTCCAAAGTCTACTTGATGAAACTGATTTTTTGTCACTTACCTCATTGAAAAAGTAGAATTTTTTGACACAAAATAAAGGAAACTCAAAGCTTCGTACTTTAAACTGGTTTTTCCGACTAAGCCTGAAAAAGCGGAAAATGCGAGAAAAAATATGAATAAAAACACTTAAAATGGCCAACTGTCCAAACCTGAAAAACCGTTTTAAATGGGATTTTGCTAATTATTATGGCATTTAAAACTGGAATTTTTTGTTGGAAAATGAAGAAAACTTAAAGCCTCGTACTTTCACCAATTTTTCCGACTGAAAACGCTTTGAAAAAGTGGAAAATCTGAGGAAGAACTGGACAAAAACGTAAACACGTCACTGCAAAATAGCCGACTAAAAGCGATGTTGCCACATGACATCGATAACATTTTAAATAATTAACTTTAATTAAAACTTGTCAAGTAAATAATAAATAACGATTATAAAACGATAAATTTCTTTGGAAACTTGTTTTCAATTGAATTCCAATGCAAATAACATATTACAAGGCCTACTTATTGAGTATAAATGAGTAAGACAAAGACAACAATAAAGTAGTATACCATTGCAAAAACATCAAAAGCGATTATATATGAGACAAAGACATAAATATTGTAGGACGTTATACTTCAATTAAAACCAAACACAAAGGAAATAATTTGATAAAGTAGTACCCACTTAAATTGATAACAAAACTAGGTACCACTAAATTAAATTCCTTATATATCATTCATATTTGAGTACCGTGTACTACTCGACTGTTGCCTACTGGTCGTTTTTTTAAAATCAACCCGATTTTGATGTAATTAGGCTCTAATCAGGGTTGCCAGACGTCCCAGTTTAGGCGGGACAGTCCCGATTTTTAGAGATATTTCCGAACCGTCCCGATTCACGAATTGAATGCCAAATGTCCCGATTTTTGGAAATGTAATGAAATATAGGTATCTCGATTTCTGGCCGACAACACGCTTTTAGGCTGCGTTTCCTACCTATATTGTTTTTTTTCCTATCCGCTGTCTCGCTTTTTCAAAGTTAAAATCTGGCAACCCTGGTAGAGGCAAATGATATTAGTATCCGAAAAGATAGCATACGACATAAGAATATGAACTATGTATGGTACCTACATAAAAATTCAGTCAAGAATTATTCATGAAATAGAGCAGGTGCTGTAGAATCATTCCTTAGCTCTACAAAGGTATCCTGCATTTCATCAGGAACGTCGGCAACATCTTACGAGGCTTGGAACGGGTTCCTTATTATTGCAGCTTTCTGTTTAGATAACTCGGAAATAACGCCCATTTCATTCTTAAGGGATTTAAGTCAATTTTCTCTTTGAGATTCTCCACATTTTCTGTTTCTGATGCTTCAGCCATTATGCATAGGTATCTATGTTCACAAACATGCGTCTCACAACACAACACTCACAACCTTCGTCCGTAAGACCAATGCAACGCTGCGCGGCTTTTGACTGAGGCGAAGGCTAAGGCGTGTTGTCAAATGCAGAAAAATATATATTGGCATTGCGACCCCTCCAAAAACTCATTGCGACCCCCTTAGGGGTCGTGACCCACTGGTTGGGAACCGCTGGTATAAAGGCACCGTCCTACTGATGAAACTGTATTACATATTATATAGTTTTCTTTTCTAATAAATGTCTATATTTTCATCTTTTGTTCCTTGTAACTTCATACAACTACATTGTAAATTTTATTATCTCCCTTAAAGCCATAAAATAAGGCGAGTTCAGTTTCCACAGATTAAATAAAGTACATATTTTTATTGTCCTCAACTGTCAGAGACAATGTTGCATTGTTGTATTTTTCAGTTCATATCGGACTATAACGGAGAGGACCATCATTTTACGAAAATCGGCCCGGGCGGTTTGATAAATCTGGAAAAGATTTACAGAACTCAGGCGGTTATGGACCACATTTCATTATGCCACCAGCACTACCATAGCAGAAATCGCCTCAGTCCAACTATAAGCCTTATGGATTATTTAAAGTAAGTAGTATAAAACATTGATTTATGTTGATTCAACAATAAAATCTTTAGATCATCAACTCCAAATGAACCCAGAGTACTATCAGCAACTCCATCCCAAAACTCCGAATCAGACAGCGAGTACGACATTGACGTGGACGATTATCATCCAGTTCAACCTTTAGTGCACGACCACGGAGTCAGTTTCGTTTGCCTATCATCACCGCACACAAAAATCGATCAACATGTTATGCAAGTAGGTATTAATTTAAGACGAAAGAAATTGTAAACACGTTCCTCCGAAGGCTGGAGCCTTCACAGCTCCGATATCTCATAAACGCGGCCGAGCGAAAAATTCTAGTTTTCCGCATGAAAACGAATGACCTTGACCCACTTTCGTGTCTTGCAATAGTCTTTTGTATATCGTCCTTTTAAGTAATGGCCTTCATTATGTTTGCAGTTTCAAAAAGATTTTACGGAGCTGGAGTTGTTAGTTGTTTGCTCTTAACGTTTAAGTATTTTATTTTATCCACTCTGGAGTAATCGAAAAGGATTGGATTCAAGAATAATCGGGATTGAGTGAAAAGAGTTTATGTGGTGTAGCTCAAAATTTGCCTCGATACTTAATTTCTTGCTCGGAGTATTCTTAAGTTCAGGTGTTGCATGTCATTTTGAAGATATCCAGATTGCCCTGTTAGAAAGAGTTTTGATGAATACATTATTTTGCTCAGGAATAAGATTTGTGTTCGTGGAGATTGGCTTTCTATATATTTCTCTCTGTATCTGTAAGTTTGAGAGGGTGGTATGGTATACCACAGCACTTATGCCACATTAGGCCCATGGTGCACCTCCACAAGAGGAGAAATCATCCTTAGTTGTGATTTTTTCTAGCAATGGGTACGATTGGCCTAATCTGGCTCTGCGTATTGGCGAAATAGCAGTGCAGTCATAGAGAAAGTGCTCTATCATCTCGTCTTGATTACAAGTCCTACACAAGGATGTGGTACAAAGTTGCAGCCAATTGTATCGTCTGTTACGGGATTATTTTTCCCCCTCAAGTAAAAGTACCCCCATCTAGAAATTTATTACTAAGTTATAATTTCACCTATACAATTTTCATTTCGCTATTTTTCAGTACCATCTAACAATAATTGGGGCTATTCATTTAAACATTTCATATTATATATTATTACAGATTCCTACACTTGCTTTATAGTACCCATGGTTCTAACACAGATTTCCGTACTACCTTCCTTTGTACCATTACAGTTTTAGTCTCAAATTTAGGCCAAAGTATTTTGGTAAGTTTTCATTTTCTGCTATTCTTCTTTTGGATAAGTTCTACAATGTAAAAGTTCTTTTAGAATACTTCCTTACCATATTTGCTATTTGCTTACCATGTGCGAAAATATTGTTCTTTTTTTTTAGGCCTTTTTCCTTCAGTCTCTCTTCACTTCACTCTCACACGCCCAATATGGGGCGCCAATAAGTTGGATCTCTTCTTTAGGCCACCTTCAAGAGTCATACTTATCCCTCCTTTCACTCTTTTCTCTCCTAACTACCCCATGTAGCTTAAGACTCGTAACCAATTGGCGCCCAACGTGGGGCGCCAATAAGTCGGATCTCTTCTTTAGGCCACCTTCAAGAGTCATATTTCTCCTTTCACTCTTCTCTCTCTTAATTATCCTATGTAGCTTAAGACTCGTAACAAATTGGCGCCCAACGTGGAGCGCCAATAAGTCGGATCTCTTCTTTAGGCCACCTTCAAGAGTCATATCCCTCCACTCACTCTTCTCTCTCTTAACTATCCCATGTAGCTTGAGACTCGTAACAAATTGGCGCCCAACGTGGGGCGCCAATAAGTCGGATCTCTTCTTTAGGCCACCTTCAAGAGTCATATTTCTCCTTTCACTCTTCTCTCTCTTAACTATCCTATGTAGCTTAAGACTCGTAACAAATTGGCGCCCAACGTAAGGCGCCAATAAGTCGGATCTCTTATTTAGGCTACCTTCAAGAGTCATATTTCTCCCGTCACTCTTCTCTCTCTTAACTATCATATGTAGCTTAAGACTCGTAACAAATTGGCGCCCAACGTGGGGCGCCAATAAGTCGGATCTCTTCTTTAGGCCACCTTCAAGAGTCATATCCGTCCATTCACTCTTCTCTCTTTTAACTATCCTATGCAGCTTTGCCAGACTCTAAATATGGAAGTGTGGTACACAATGCTAAAAACTGTCGTACAGGGACGTACGCGCCACAAATACCTGTGGTACACATTACTTTACATTTTTAGTAGGTACATATTTACTTGAAAAATATGATTTTTTTGGAGAGCGCAAAATGTTGAAAACTTGAAAATAGACCTTGCATTAAAAATTACAGCAACAGGAGTGTCCGGAAATCAAATAAAACTATTTATTAAATTTACTAAAGTCATCTCGATTAAAGTACTTTGTGGATAATAAGTCAAATGGGAAATAAATTCTTTTGTAACGTTGACAATAATTGCTAACCTAATATGAAAATTCCTGTCAAAAAAATTTCTATAGGAATAATCCTCGAACATTGATAAATGCTCAACTTTCTCAAGCTTATAAGGCAATTTTTCGCAAGGATAATTAAGCATAATCTGATTATGCTGGGTTATTTGATGTGTCAATTGTGTCATACTCCCTTCTAACTCCCACTCCATCAGATTTTGGGCCTGCGAGTGACGTCACTATCAACAGATTATAATGATGACGTCATCCGCAGACCTCGATGGAATGGTCGCGATTCAGGCTGTGCTAGGAGTTCATTTTTCCGTCGATTTTGGTATACATTTTTTTTCCTAATTTGGCCAGCACTTATAAGAAAAAAGGAGAATTCAGAAAGGTACATATTACCATAAAATATTACCCACTCAACCCAAGATTTCAAAACTTTGGTACATTACCGTACGAATTGATTTTCTTGTAACGAACATGCCCCGAACTGTCGTACAAATACCACAACTGTCGTACGTCTGGCAACGCTGATCCCATGTAGCTTAAGACTTGTAACAAATTGGCGCCCAACGTGGAGCGCCAATAAGTCGGATCTCTTCTTTAGGACACCTTCAAGAGTCGTATCCCTCCACTCACTCTTCTCTCTCTTAACTATCCTACGCAGCTTGAGACCCGTAACAAATTGGCGCCCAACGTGGGGTGCCAATAGGTCAGATCTTTTCTTTGGGCCACTTTCAAGAGTCATATCCCTTCCTTCACTCTTTTCTCCCTTAGCTTCTCCCTGTCGCTTTTAGACACGTAACAAAATTGGCGATTTTTCCACTCGCCTAGCAATCAGGTGGAGGGCTGTGTCTATTGACCTTCCGGGAGTATATGCGTGTTGATTGGGGTGGAGTGGATTGGTTGGCAACACTTCATCCTTTATGTACTTTTTGCATAGTTTCTTCATTGTTTTTAGAGAAAATGATGAGAGGCTTATGGGGCGATATGTCTTGCGGGTGGTGTAGTCCATCCTCCCTGGTTTGGGTAGGAACACCACTTTAACTCTCAAAGCCTTGAGTATGTATCTTAACGCCAAGGACACCCTGAACATCCTTACCAGGTGCGGCAAGAGTGGTTCCAAACCGCACTAGAGTAGAGCTGGACAGATGGCGGAGAAGCCTGAAATTACCCAACCTATTTTTTCCTCGTATATTATCTGACTTGCTAGTTGCCAATCAACCACAAAGGGTATGTATGTTATCCTCTACAATAGTGGTTGTGGAGTCAGGAAAGTTGGTTGCTAGTAGTACCTCTGTGCTTTTTTGAAGGTTGGCAGTGGAGGTGCCATCCTCCTTGCACAGGATACCAATTTTCCGAAATGGGTCTTTATTAAGAGCTTTCTGAAGTTTTGCCGCTTCCGTATAGTTTTCTATTTAGTTGCAGTATGTCCTCCAGGCATCTCTTTGTTTTTGTCGTACGACTTATTTATACTGGTTGAGTTGGTACCCAATTCTCAGGTAGTTTGGTGTTTTTAGCTTTATTGAAAGCTTCTCTTGTCGCCGCCATGTGGTATTCCAGTTCCTGACACCATCAAGCAGAGGTGTTACCAGAGTTTTGGAACATCCTCAGTGGGCTTGACAATAAAGAGTTCTAGTGCAAAATCGGCCATTTTTACATGTAAATCTCCATAAGAAAATCTAGGTTTATTCTGCATTTTTTTGTACCATTTTGGAGTAGGGGTAAAATTTCTAAGAATAAGCCACGCCCCCTTTCCCGTGCCCTTTTATCGATAGCTGGTTAGTTACCAGTGCTTCAGGGTCATTGACCGTACCTGTCTCTAGACCTATATAGCTTTATATAGACGTATCTTTAGACCTCGACGCTAAGTCGCACTTAACATCCCAAGCAAACTTTACGTTTTTACGAGTCAGTGCATTAAGGGAAGCAATAACAGAAGAAAAGTTGGGCACGAATTGGCGATACCAAGATGCCGTACCCACAATACGCCGCACTTCCGTGACATTTTTGGGAGGAGGAATCTTAATAATGGCTTCGACTTTATCGGAGTCGATGAGTAACCGATTTGAGTGTACCACATAACCTAAATACTTAAGTTCGGGCTTCCAGTACTGACACTTTTCGGCGTTTAAGGTTAAACAAGCTCGCTTAAGCCTCTGTATAAAGCTATATAGGTCTATAGACAGGTCTGTATAAAGCTAGACAGCTCTAGCTAGACAGGTCTGTCTACAGCTAGACAGATCTAGAGGCAGGTCTGTATACAGCTATACAGGTCTAGAGACTGGCCTGATACAGCTATGGAACTGACCCGTATTACGGGCCCCCAATTTCTGGCGCTTTGTTGTCCGGACCCCATTTACATAAACTAGAACTCATAACCCAAAAGTTGGCTCTCGCCTCGTGCAACTTGCATCTGCAACTAGACAAAGCACGAGGCGAATTTCATTATAAGTTACGTCATCACCAGTGCGAGGTACCTTGAATAAGGAACCAAGTACTATGTGGGTTCGATGAGCCGCTAGGGGCTAGGTACGGTCAACGACCCTGAAGCACCAGCGACTAGCCAGCTATCGATGAAAGACTGGAAAGGGGGCAGGGCCTATTTCTGGAAATTTTACTCCTACTCCAAAATGGTACAAAAATGTGCAGAATGGACCTTAGATTTTCTTATGGAGATTTACATGTAAAAATGACCCATTTTGCGCTAGAACCCGTATTGCACCTTTACTCTCGACATCTTATAGGATTTTCTGATGGCACCTTGCATGGTATTGGCATACCGCTCCAATTCTTGGTCACCTAATCTAACTGCAACCTCTCACAGAGCCCTTACCAATCCATTAATTAAGAAAAATTCCAGATCCTCCATCACGGCAGCACAGTAGTACTTTGGGAAGGCCAAGAAAACCAAACGCCATCTACAATCAAAGGAACCTTCTTCTATTTGCGCTTGGATCGTTCTTCTACGGTACTAACTTGGGTACGACCGAGTTGGTCCGCATTGAAAGCCGGCAACACCAACGACAGCGATCCGTTCTCGCAAGATTTCAATTTGAGTTTCAATCCCGAAGACACTTTGGCACCGGGATTACTGACCAAATTGGCGTTGCAGTGCAGTGGTGAACAGAGTACCATGACTACTTTGGACGATGGGTAATTTATGATTTATTTTTAGTTGCTGGAAAAGGGAGACTAAAGTGGATCTTTTGAATCTCAAAATGCATTATTTGAGTTAAACAAAGATCAACTTTAGTCCCTGGATTAACCTACTAGACACATAAGGGAGCCACCATGTATATCCTACAGTGAAATGGGTATAAGTCAACTGATCTTATTGAAGTTTATGTGTCTAGTTGCTTGGTCATCTGTGGAAATTATTGTGAATTTGAGTATTGTTTTTGTTATAGGTTTTTGGATTTGATGTCAATAAAAGAAGTCCATTTGGGCGGTAGAGATTTGGATAAGGATAGTGAGCTGGCCGCAGTTGCCAGACGTTACGGTTTGAATCACGAACCGGGAAACGAATGCGCTTTTACTATTTTGCACGGAAATGGCCTTAGTGATAATAGACTGCTATATGTTGTTTGTCCTCCTGCTGAATGCAGGTAAGAATTTTTTTGTATTTATTATAAGACACAACTACAGGTTTTGTCTAATCTGGCCCTAACCAGAATCCATTCAAAAACACTTCTATTTGGAAACAGCTTTAATTAAATGCCACAAGATGGATTTTAATTTTATTTATTCGAAATTTTTCCTAACGCTAAACTAAAACTTTTCCCCTTCAACTTCCCAAAGTTTTATGATTAAAAGATCATAATTTAACTCGAAATTGTTGCATAATTTTCCGGCAAAGTTTAATAGTTTTTGCCGCAGAAATTTGCAGTTGTTTCGAGCCATTTATGCCCTCACTGGCAAACAATTTTTACTGAAATTGTACGCTTACATCGTCAAAATATTGATTTTGGTGTTCATTAAAAAAACCCAATGAGAAGGTAATTAGCTGTCAGTCGAATGATGGACGCCTTGTTTTTCTGAAGGTGGTTTCTTTCGAGGAAATGTTTACTCAATTAGAGAGGGAAATCAATTTTTACAAAAACACTAATTATATCCACTATACGTAAGAATACCAGTTACTTACACAAAATTTGTCTTTTTTACTACTTTGAAACCAAAAAAACGTTGTTTTCTTTTGAAAAAATAGCAAGAAATGGGAGAGAGCAACTCTTCTCTTTACGTAAATAAAATTTTATCGAAACATTTCTCTGATATATCAATATTTTTTGGGTACATTGCTCAGAAATGACATTTTTCCTCTAAAAACTTGAAAGTAAACAAGAAAAAACTCTTTCGCTGTGCCACTTTAGCTAAGAAAATGTGAATTTTTAAGAAAAATATTTAAAATAGACGGATCGTTTAGTTTTCTATTAAAAAGCTTCTAAGAAAAAATGACGTGCAATGCATTTTGTTGGATAGCGATCAAATTTATTAGGAAAACATCTATGAGAGCCATTTTCAAACTGATCCTGCCTCGGTCTGATAAAATTTCAAATTGTGTCAGGCACATTTTTGGAGATATGTTAAGTGGCTCCTATAAGATTTGAATTCTTGTCATAAGAAACCCACTTGGAACCAAACAAATTGATTAGAAATGACCTGAAACATTGATGGGAGCCATAATGGGAATTATTTTCAAACTGATCCTGAGACTAATAATTGATTTTGCAGGAGTTTGAATTCTCATTGGAAGAAACTCCAGAGAATCAGAATATTCCAAAATGGCTAAGAGCCTCAGTCAAATCCAATCTGATGAAATTTCAAACTGTTCCAGGCACATTTTTGAAGATGTTAAGTGGCTCCTGTAAGATTTGAATTCTTGTCAGAAGAAACCCACTTGGAACCAAACAAATTTATAAGAAATGACCTGAAACATTAATGGAAGCCATAATGGGAATCATTTTCAAACTGATCCTGAGCCTAATTGATTTTGCGGGAGTTTGAATTCTCATTGGAAGAAACTTCAGGGAATCAGAATGTTCCAAAATGGCTAAGAGTCTCAGTCAAATCCAGTCTGATGAAATTTCAAACTGTTCCAGGCACATTTTTGAAGATGTTAAGTGGCTCCTGTAAGCAAGATTAAATTAAAATCCTCGTTATAATTGAACAGGATACTGCTTTTCTGGCAGTCGCAATAAACAGGCAAATTTTTTAAAAAAACGTAGGAGAAATTGAATTAGTTAAAAAAAAATAAAAAAAAATCTCTAGATTCTCCCCAAATAGACAAATTTTCTTTTTAGGTAAAGGTACTTACTACTTATAGGTATTACAAGATAAACCTGAGAGGTCAAAATTCCTGAGATGATTGAAGGAGTCAAACAGAAAATGGCTATACATGCCTCTGCCTGGATTCAGTGAAGAGTTGATAGGGATGGACACACAAATTTGGTTTGCACCGACTCTATTAGAGCAAATGGTCCAATAATCCCACACTAACAATTGATTCCGAAAACCAGAGCAGCAGTATACCTATTTATCAGCGCAAAACTCTGAATTGACTCACCTCAGAAAAAACGTGGGACCACCGATTACAAAATGAATGCACAATTAAATAAAAAATAAAAATATAACATTTATATTTCAAAAGTAGATAAGATAAGATTTATCAGGTAAAAACTCAACAATTATATGATAGTATACACTGATGGTAAAATAAATTGAAAAATATCAAGGGAAAATCTAGAAATCTGAAGGAAAAAATTACAATAATCAAAATCGACTTGCCTGCTCAACAACTGCCAGAAAAAGAGACCGTTTAAGAAGCAAAACTTTGCAGGAAACCAATCTTGTGTTTTTTTATACTTACTTGCGTAGTAACCATTGACCAATCAGAAGACAACACTCAACACACACAAAACACTGATGTGCTCACTTTAAATCTTGAATCCTATTATTATTCACTTTTAAGCATTGAATTTAATGCTTGAAGTATCAAAAATTTTCAATTTTCATTTTTCTATATGGCTCAAAATCCTTGAAGTGTTTTAGGCTTAAGGCATTCGAGCCTCGACAATCTTTGAAATGGAGTTTATATAAGCTTCAATCAAGAATCAAATAGACTTTGAACTTTTCAGCGTCTTAAGAGTCTCCCCTTTAAAATGTTGAAAAATCCCCCTTCAAAACATTCAATACAGTAATTGCTGAAATCTGACAATAATTATTCTCTCTAGAGCCGGTGAGAATGCAAATAAACCTCCAAAAAGTCCTTTTGTTTTTCTTTTCAATCCCATTCCAAATAATTTACAAAACACAAACCTAATAATTCAAACTTTCCTCTCGGCTGGCTCCTACTTTTCGAACTAATTAAAAAGTGAAACAACCTTAAATCTTGCGAGCCGTAACGCTCCATACCGAGGAAGTTACATCAAAGGTATTTTCTCCTAGAGAGAGACACGCCGAAGTTTAAATTAAAACCGAAATTGCATCTAAAACTAAATTATTTTTCTAGGGTTTGGTACAGCGGATTGTACTGGTTAATCCGTGGTATATCTAGGCTTAATTCTCTCTGTGATAAACGATTGCTATGGTTAAGGGAACAATATTTGCAGCTGTACCACGAAGACGGGTACTGTTGCGGACCTTTGGCTGCTGATGCCATTCGGGTAAAAGGTTTTTCATCTAACAATTAAACAACCTAATGATGTATTTTTAAAAATAGTCATTTGGAGGTAGAGACTGGTCGCTTGCAGGAACCAAACCCGGCAGCAACCAATCAGGCGAAACGTCCGGATTAAGACGAGAAGTTTCAATGAAGATTAAAAAGAAGCAGATTTTAAGTAATCAGACTTTTAAAGTTAGTAAAGTAAGTACATATATGAAAAAGCTTCGTTGTAGTGGTTGCAAACATAATTATTTTCTAGGACAAAAGCTTAAAATCATCATTTATTGAGCCAGCAACTATGTGTATGGAAAGTAGCTATTGGCGTAATCCAACTTATCACAGGCAATCTACTCCAACAACTTTCGGTGCTGAACACCAGCCAGATGTCGCTAGGCATCATAGTTTAGGTCAGTTGGCTTACGTGTCTTCTAGTCAACCGAAATTTGACAGGTAAGATGTTTGTTTAATAGTTAAAAATTCTATAAAATGTGGTTTTTAGGGACAGACATGGGTCCACTGAACATTTATGGCACGGTAGGCATCCGCGAGTCGGCTCAATTTTGTATGATACTCAGCTAGATTTTGTAGATTTTGTAACGTTATTTCGATCTTTTAGGTAAGTAAGATAAATTTTCTCATTAAGCCACAAATTTCCAAGTAAACTAACATTTATATAAGCATCCGGAGCTGTAAATTAAGCCCTTTTCCCGGCTTACAAACCAATAGTGGTTATGTCTTGCTCTATAAATTTAGATCCTTTTTGATCGTTCGAATGGAAATTTATTTGTAGGAAATTCAAGTATCAATACGTTGTTCAAGTATGATATTCACCTGAAACCAGTGGCGGCTCGTCAGAGGAGGCAGGGGAGGCTAAGCTTCCCTCAAAAAATTGAAAATTCAATCTCAGTTTTTAATTCCTGATTCCTAATAGAAATAATAATTTACAAATTTCGATATTTCAATGTAATTTAGAAAAATCTGACAACATTATTTCAATCAATCCCGCGCTTCCACGCCAAAAATCTGTGAATCTGGGATACTCAGTAATACGAGCCCGAAGGGCCGGAGTTATACGCGAGCCCGAAGGGCTAGAGTTATTTTAATCACGGAGCTCAGTCTATAATTCTATTGATCAGCGGATAATTTGGAGCCAATCAAAAATCGGGAATATTCAAAATGTGATTTTTAGTCGATATTCCGAGTTTCAGTTCTCTCCGATGTACCGGAAAAAAATTAGCCTCCCTATCTTTCTTGATTTAGATTTTTTCTTCCGAATTTCTAATTAAAATAATAATTCACAAATTACACCTTCCAAATTTTTATATTTCAATGTAATTTAGAAAAATCGGACATTATTTCAATCAATCCCGCGCCTCCACGACAAAAATCTGTGAATCCGGGATACTCAGTAATACGAGTCCAAAGGGTAAAACTCCGGCCCGAAGGGCCGGAGTTATACGCGAACCCGAAGGACCGGAGTTATACGCGAGCCCGAAGGGCTAGAGTTATTTTATTCATGGGGCCCAGTCTATAACTCTATTGGTCAGCGGATAATTTGGGGCCAATCAAAAAATACGACGAAAAGTTAATTTGACCCTCCTCGCTACGGCACATCTTAAGGCCGAAAAAAAAATAAAAAAGGAAATTTCACTTTCACTGTTCCTGGAAGAGGTTTATTCCAGTTTAGGAGGATGCCTTTTGGTGTATCCAACGCCCCTGCAACCTGGCAACCTATAATTGACACTATTTTAGGCCCTGAACTCGAGTCGAATGTTATGGTATATCTGGATGATATCGTAATCCTTTCCAACTCCTTTTCGGATCATCTTAAACTCTTAGGGATTGTCTTTGATAGACTAGGCGAGGCTGGTGTCGTCGTTTCCATTGAAAAATGTAATTTCTGTCAACCAGAATTAAAATATTTAGGTTATTTGGTTGATCGTAAGGATCCTCGTCCTGATCCTGAAAAAGTAGAGACCATCATCAATCTTCCTCCGCCTCAAAACATTAATGAAGTCCGTCGTTTTATAGGAACCACTTCCTAGTGTTGCCGTTTTTCCTCTCTTTTGTCAACTATTTTGAACCTCACTAAAAAGAACGTCAAGTGGAACTGGACCACAGAATTTCAAAACTCCTGCACTGCTTTTAAGGAATGTTTAGTCACAGCCCCTGTTTTGACAGCTCCCGATTTTGAGAAGCCATTTTATTTGCACACGGATGTATCATTTTTCGGACTTGGAGCCGTCCTTTCTCAGAAATTTGACGAAGATGGAAAGGTCATCTGCTATCTTTCCAGGTCTCTTTCCAGACAGGAAATGAAACTTTCTGTTACTGAGAAAGAATGCTTAGCAGTAGTTTGGAGTATTGAGAAACTTCGTCATTATTTATTTTCACTGTCATAACTGACCATGCCTCTCTCTTATGGTTACATAGGTTAAAAGATCCTCAAGGTCGTTTGGGTCGTTGGCAACTTCGTTTGCAACAATTTGACTTTGACCTAATCCATCGCAAAGGCAAAGACCATATTGTCCCTGATTTTCTTTCCAGATCAGTCCCCATTTCCATCGAGTCCATTCAAATTTTCACTCAACCTAATTTCAATTCCAACACTATTGATAAATGGTATCTTTCTATGATCCAAAGAATCGAGAAAAATCCTCTGAATTTCTTTTGTGGCGTGTGCAAGGTGGCATCCTTTATAAATTCCTCAAGACTCCTTTCTCTGAACTTTCTTCTCCATCTGAAGAATGGAAGGTGGTAGTTCCAAAAGATAAAAGGCCCAAAATTCTAAATCGTTGTTATGACATTCCAACCACTGGTCATGTTGGTGTTTTTTAGACCTTTGGCAAAATCCGTCAAAATTATTTTTGGCCCAAGATGAAGGCCGACGTAGTTCGCTACATTAAGTCTTGTCGTCATTGCGCTCAGAGTAAGGTTGAACAAGTGAAACCTGCAGGATTAATGGGAGAAAGACCAGTCATCACTGAACCATTTCATTCAATTAGCCTCGATTATATAGGACCCCTACCTCGTTCTAAAAAGGGACATTGTTATATTCTTGTCATCTCAGACTATTTCAGTAAGTCAGTTTTCCTTTATACATGTCGTGCCGCTAAGGCCAAATCTCTAGTTGAACATGTAGAGAATTTCTTTTTCCTTTTTGGTGCCCCCAAATTTTTGACCTGTAACAATGGTGTTTAGATGAAGTCGAAGGAGTTTCAGGCCTTGTGTCAACGTTATAGGACCCACATTTTCTATACAGCCAACTACAATCCCCGTGCAAATTCCACAGAACGTCACAACCGTGTCATTAAGACTATGTTACGTACCTATGTGCGTCAAGAAAATCACAGAGCCTTGGACAAACATCTCCGAGAGATTGGTTGCGCTATAAAAAGAAAAACTCACTTAGTCAGTTGTTCTCAAGTCAGTATTTTATCTGAACAACATGATAATGAGGATACTATAGACGCTAAGTTTGTTGAGAAATAAATAATTTAGTTTAAAATCATTTCTCACTTCTAATTTCCCAAACCTATAAATCTAAAATTCTTATACTAAATGTACTATTTGCTATTCCTTTTCAGTAAGCCGATTCTCACCCTTCAGACCCTTTATATAAAAGCCGAATTTATTGTCGGGTTGTGCCGCGTTTACTAATTCTATGATAATATATTAGAGATTTCTTTTTTTTTTGGAGGAAATCGTTGTAAGCTTATAATAATCGTATGTCTTTCAAATAAAGAAATTATATTTTCACATATTTCACGTTGCTTTGAAATTTGAAACTTCATTATCCAAAACCCCCAATTTTATACTTTCAGTTTACTTATTCGAAAAGATCTCAGAGATTTATTCGAGCAATTAGCAATATCGTATAGAAGTATGGCTGTGAATACTACTAAGATAAACGGAGTAAAATCGAAATCATCCGATCACCATTCAAGAAAACCCACTAAATTTGGTAAGCAAATTTCATCAACTACTCAAAATTTCAATTAATTTATCTACTTCCAGGCATTTTAACAAGAAACAGCAGACAGGAACTGGACGGTCAAGTAGTCAACACTCAAAAGAAAGTTTTCGATGCTATCGCAGCGGCCAGTATTTTCACTAATTGCGCAGGCATCGATACCAATAACTCTCAAGTTATAACTTTATCTACATTCACCAAATTTCTAGAGACTAGACAAATGGAAATAAGAACTGAAGAGGAAGTTAAAGATTTGATCGATGTAAGAACCATTTCAATTATTATCAACATAAAACATTATTTTTTTATATAGAGGCACGAACCAGATGCATCTCTGCGCTCCCAACATTGTCTTTCGTTCGAAGGTTTCGCCAGATACCTAATGGACAAAGACAATTTCGCGTTTGTCCGAGAATGCGAAGTGCCTAACGAAGAAGAAATGAAACGTCCCTTATCCACCTATTACATATCCTCTTCGCACAACACTTACCTAACCGGCCATCAGCTCAAAGGCGAATCCTCTATAGAACTTTACAGTCAAGTGCTTTTGTCCGGCTGCCGATGTGTAGAACTCGACTGCTGGGACGGCGAGGACGGTTATCCTATGATTTATCACGGGCACACTTTTACCACGAAAATTTCCTTTACGTCAGTTGTAGAGACGATACATAAAAATGCTTTTGTTACTTCACCTTATCCGGTGATACTTTCTATTGAGAATCATTGTTCTTTGCCGCAACAAGCTAGGATGGCTCATATTTTTCAGGTAAGAACAAAAGTCATTATATCATATGGATTTGTTGATACAGACATTACCCTAGCTAATCATGATTAGCTAGGGTAATCAAAAGCCGGGAATAATCAACAATTGGTTCTGACCAATGGAATATGAAAATTTGGAACTTGTCTACTAATCAAATCAATTAAAACGCCGTTTTGAAACTCTGGAGCTGGCCAACTGAGTGGAGTTTGGAAGTAAAGCCGGGTAGGGTGGAAAAATATCCTATTAATTTTCGATATCTTCCAATTTCAATTTAAAATCTTTCATCGATTACCATTCTATTAGCAACCTGTGGATTTTCCAGTTTTAATTTAATCTCAAAAATGGCGGATTTATCATAGCAACATTTTCAAAAGGTTCTTACATATACAGTTAGATGGCGTTTAAAGGCGGAAAAGTATTTCATTGAGTTATTATTCCAGGCTCTTGCAACTGAATCAAAAGCCGGAAATAATCAATTGGTTCTGACTAAAATGGAATATGAATATTTGGAACTTATTAACTAATCAAATCAAGTAAAACGCCATTTTGAGGCTATCCATTGACACTTGCCTAGTGAATACTAATAGCAAAATGGCGGATTAATCATAACAACATTGTCAAAAGGTTGTTACAGTTAGATGGCGTTTTAAGGAGAAAAAGTATTTCATCGAGTCATTATTCCCGGCTCTCATTACATTATATGGATTTGTTGATACAAACATTACCCTAGCTAATCATGTTTAGCTCTATCAAATCTCTTTCTAGACTTGTTAGTATTAGAGACAGAGATCTTTACATAATATGTATACAGACTAAGGACCTTGTCCCACCAAAGCAGCGACACAGGGAGACAACTCCTTGTCACCTGCTTGTATCATGTCGAAATCGTGTCAATGTTGCGCTGCTTTGGTGGAACAAGGCCCTTAAAGCCAAGTCTGTATACAGCTCTACATGTTTAGAGACAAATCTGTAGGCATACGAGTCTCACTCTAACTTTTCTTATCTCTTTTAGCGAATTTTCGGTGATCGTCTAGTGACAAACTTCCTCTTCGAAAGCGACTACAGCGACGAACCCTACCTACCATCCCCCGAACAACTAAAAAACCGCATTTTAATCAAAAACAAAAAACTCTCCATCGAAATTCCAGCCCCTTTCAGCACAATATCGACTCCGATCAGACCGAGTAGCGGATTGCGACACTCGGTACCAGGCAGAACAAGTTCGATCATCAGCAATGCGAGTTCGAGCTCGTTCAATGACGATTTCAGTGATGACGATTACGACGACGAAGACGATGAGGATAATATCGACGAGAAAACTATGCACGCCATATTGGCTCCGAATGAATCTCCGAGGCCTTACAGTTCACACGCGGTGTCGAAAACTAGTTCTACTAAGCGATCGTTGCCTACGGATGATAAATTGAGGAAGAAGGGCAGTCAGATATCCAAGGAGCTTTCGGATTTGGTTGTTTATGTTCAAGTAAGAATCATTATTAGTCGTTTTAATTTATCGACAAATAAAGTGTTGTCATAACATGTTGGGTGATGACAAAATTAACGTAGTATTGAATAATTGTTATATGATTTTGAATTTGGAGGTTACTAAACGCATGCGTTGTTCCCGTGACAAAATCGACACTGACTTGTTATGATCGGTGGTTTTCCTTTTCATATCCTTTGGAACCCAGATAGTGTAATGATAAATCTTCTAATAGTGATAATTCTTGTTGGACTTCTTGGGCTGGGACTCTTTTTGGAAGAGGATAAAATTACCTATAAAATTGTAACGACCAGATATTTTCTCTTTCTCTATTGACGTCCCCTCTCTATTGATTTCGAAAAGAGAGGAGAGGACAGCAAATGCCATAGCAATAGGGATAACGATCTCTATCCGTCCCATCATTGGGGGAAATTAATTTTCAAAAATTCCCTGAGGGCAAACCGACGGTTCTATCAAGCTGAAATTTGGTACGAATGTAGTGGAACACGCGTTTTATCGAAAAAAAAAAAAACGGGGGGCCCCTATCTAAAAAGCAAAGCTCCCTGGGTGGAACCAGATTTTTTTTTTTCGGCCGTTCGTAATGTAGGTGAAAGGAGACTAAAAATGTCGATATTCCAAGTTTCAGTCTTCTCCAACCTACCGGAGGGGTTTTAGCCCCTATTATCTCAATTTTGACAAAGGTACGTGTAGTGGTGCATACACGTTCCGCACTCACTTTCCCAAATTTCGAAAAATAAAAATAACCGTCGGATAAAGGAGCAAAAAATACGTCGAAAATGTCACTAGGCGTTTTTCGCTCCGAAGCTCCGTAAGCCTGCAAAAAAATAAAAAAATTTGCAACTTCGAAAATTTTGGGCAGCTGACTCGGTGCCACTTTTCCGCTTATAACTTTGGAAATTTCGAACCGATTATCTTGAATCAAGTTTCTTTTCGAAGAGGATAAAATTATCTATAAAATTGTAACGAATAAAGATATTTTCTCTCTTTCTATTGACGTCTCCTCTCTATTTATTTCGAAAAGAGAGAAGAAGATAGCAAGGGTCATAGCGATGTTTCAGCTATTTCCTGATAAAATAGAAAGTTGAAATTTTCAGGGGACCAAAAACTTCTAATTTTGTCGAGCCAAAAAAAAATTTCGTCCCCCCTCCTTCCCTGGGGAACCCTGGGAGGGCTGTCAAAGTTTTGACTTCCGGCCCCGGTACAGCCGAAACCGTTGATAGTGGAAAGTTGAAATTTTGTGGGGTTTTAGAGAAAAAGTAACTCTATCGAATAGGAAAGGGATTCCCTGAGGGCGAACTGATGGTTTTATCAAGCTGAAATTTGGTATGAATATAGTAGAATACCTACGAGCTTTTTCGGAAAAAAAAAATGCAGGGGGCCCCTACTTAAAAAGCAAAGCATCCTGGGGGGCCCCTAATTTATTTTTTTTTTGGCCGATTCGGACGAAATTCGGAATGTAGGTAAAAGAAATCTGAAAAAATTGATATTCCAAGTTTTAGTCTTCTCCGACCTACCGGAGGGGTTTTAGCCCCTATCCCCTCAATTTTGAAAAAGGACGTGTAATGGTGCATACACGTCCTGCACCTACTTTTCCAAATTTCGAAAAATAAAAAATACCTTCGGATAGAATAGCAAAAAATACGTCGAAAATGTCTCTAGGCGTTTTTCGCTCCGCCGCTTCGTAAGCCCGCAAGAAAATAAAAAAATTTGGATCCTGGAAAATTTTGGGGGCCTGACACGGCGCCACTTTTCCGCTTATAGCTTTGGTAATTTCGAATCGATTATCTCGAATCAGGTTTCTTTTGAAAGAGGATGAAATTACCTATAAAATTGTCACAAATAGAGATATTTTCTCTATCTCTAACGACGTCCCTTCTCCATTGATTTCGAAAAGAAAGAAGAAGACAGCAAGTGTCACAGCGATAGGGATAACGATCTCTATCCGTTACAGAGTTCCAGCGCGATATTTGAGCCATTTCCCGATAAGATAAAAAGTAATTATCAGGGGACTTGGAACTTTTAATTTTGTCGAGTCAAAACAATTTTCGTCCTTTCCCCGCCCCTGGGGGACCCTGTGGTGGGCTGTCAAAGTTTTGACTTCCGGCCCTGGTACAGCCCAAATGGCTGGGAGTGGAAAGTTGAAATTGTATAGGGTTGTAGAGAAAAAGTAGCTCTATCGACTGGGGGTGGGGAGAAGGCAGGAGTTTCTGAAAAATTTTCAAGATGGGGCAAAACATGAACAACGCGATATCTCGAAAACGGACCTCCTTTGCAATGTATAAATGACAACCCAAGGTCTCATAGCAGTGATGTATTCCCCCCCATCGGTAGGAGGAATTAATTTTTCAAAAAATTTCCTGAGGACGAACCAATGGGTGGTATGAATAAAAACGAAGTACTTGCTAGTACTACAAGTATTAGCATGTTCTACGTAGTATTTACTCCAAAACGAAGTAGATACTACATTTCGACAATACCGGAAATAAGTAAATGCTTCTTTGTGAAGTAAATACTTCGAAGAATATACTATTACTTGTAGTAGTAGCATGTACTTCGTTTTTATTCATACCACCCAATGGTTCTATCAAGGGTGGGGGCCCTAAAATTTTTTTTTCTGGCCGATTCGAAAGAAATTCGGAATGTAGGTAAAAGAGGTTCAAAAAAGTTGATATTCCCGGTTTCAGTCTTCCCCGACTTACCGAAGGGGTTTTAGCCCCTATCCCCTCAATTTTGAAAAAGGGCGTGTAATGGTGCATACGCGTCCTGCACTTACTTTTCCAAATTTCGAAAAATAAAATATACCATTGGATAGAGGAGCAAAAAATACGTCGAAAATGTCTCTAAGCGTTTTTCGCTCCGACGCTTCCTAAGCCCGCAAAAAAAATAAAAAAAATTGGATCTTGAAAAATTTTGGGGACCTGACACGGCGCCACTTTTCCGCTTATAACTTTGGTAATTCCGAACCGATTATCTTGATTCAGGTTTTTTGGAAGAGGATGAAATTACCTATGAAAGTGTAACGAATAACGTCCTCTCTCTATTGATTTGGAAAAGAGAGGAGGAGACAGAAAGTGTCATAGCGATAGGCATAACGATCTCTATATCCGGTACAGAGTTCCAGCGCGATTTTTGAGCCGTTTTCCGATAAGATAGAAAGTTGACATTTTTAGGGAATTTAGAATTTTTAATTTTATCGAGCCAGAACAATTTTCGTCCCCCAGGGGAGGCTCTGGAGTGGCTGACAAAGTTTTGACTTCCGGCCCCAGTACAGCTCAAACGACTGGGGGTGGAATGTTGAAATTTTGTAAAGTTGTAGGAAAAAAGTAGCTCTAGCGATTGGGGAAAGGGAGGGGGGGGGGAAATAATTTTAGAAAAATTTTTAAAAGGGAGAAAAACATTAAAAACGCGATATCTCTAAATGGACCTCCTTTGCAATCTAAAAATGACCACCTAAGGTTTGACCATAGTAGTGATGTATTGCTCTCCCACCGGTGGGAGAAATTAATTTTCGAAAATTCCCTGAGGGCAAAAATAATACGGAGGAACCGTATCTAAAAAGCAAAGTCCCCTGGGGGACCCCTAAATATTTATTTTAAGTTGATATTTCAAGGTTCAGTCTTCTCCGATCTACCGGAGGGGTTTTAGCCCCTATTCCCTCAATTTTGGAAAAAGGCGTGTAATGATGCATACACGTCCTGCATTTACTTTTCCAAATTTCGAAACATAAAAAGAATCATCGGATAGAAGAGCAAAAAATACGTTGAAAATGTCTCTAGGCGTTTTTCGCTCCGACACTTCCTAAGCCCGCAAAAAAATAAAAGAAATTGGATCTTGTAAAACTTTTGGAACCTGACACGATGCCACTTTTCCGCTTATAACTTTAGTAATTTCGAATCGATTATTTCGAATTAGGTTTCTCTTGAAAGAGGATGAAATTTTCTATAAAATTGTAATGAATAAGGATATTTTCTCTATCTCTATTGACGTCCCCTCTATTGATTTCGAGAAGAGAGAAGAAGACAGCAAGTGCCATAGCGATAGGGATAACGATCCCTTTCCGTTACAAAGTTCCAACCCTGTTTGCATTTGTAAAATGTCAAAACAGCTAAAAAAATAGGATCGAGCCTTCATTTGCAATCGTTTTAATTTGTAGCTAAATTCAAAAGATTGCAACTCTTCCCCCATATTCAACCTTCTCATTATTTTATTTTTCCAAATCCTTATACATCTATGACGATCTTGCAACTATGTCGCCAGTCCGATGACGTGTAACGCCTCATACTTTGTCTTCATATATTTATTTTTTGAGATTCATTTGAAAATTTGTTTTCCTTCGCTTAAATTAGAATTTCCCATTAGACTGAGATGTGAGAATGACAAAAATATTTGGACCCCAATAACACAACACCCTTATTTCCTAGTCCCATTGGGCTTCTTTCACTTCAAACCCAATCTGACTACTCTAATTATATTCCACTAATACGCATCAAGTGAATACGTAGTTCAATTTATTCCTTTAATTATCAGAATTCCATTTTCAGGCTATCAAATTCCGAGGTCTGAATAACATATCGCCGAGCAGTTCGGTAAAACAGAGACCAAAAACATGCGTATCAATATCCGGTAGCTCAATCGTCACTACCGGAAGTAGTTCAGCTTCAAACATATCAACTTCCGGTATCGGAACCGAATCGGACAGCACCCTATACGAAAACGAGGTAAGCAAGTCGGCATTTTTTAACCTTTAATACAATTTACTTATTTTTAGGAAAAGAAACCTCAAAGACCAAACATCAACTATCCGTGTTATCAATGCTCGTCAATCAACGAGAACACGGCCAAAAAACTCTGTAGAAAACAACCTTTGGCGCTGGTGGCTCACACGCAGACGCAACTGATGCGCACTTATCCGGCCCCGATGCGCATAGACTCTAGCAATTTTAATCCTGTGATATTTTGGTCTTTCGGCATACAAATGTCGGCGTTGAATTATCAAACCGAAGATACCGCTTTGCAGTTGAACAACGCCTTATTTGAAACAAATGGAAAGTGCGGCTATGTTACTAAACCAAGAGTGATGTGGGATAAGAGTCACGTGATGTATAGGAGATTCAATCCTTGGGATAAACAGTTTGATGGTATTCATTCGTCTCAGTTTGTTATCAGCGTACTTTCTGGACAATATGTTTGTCAGAGCAATGTTACAGTTAATGTTTATGTTGAAGTGGAAATTATTGGTATTCAAGTGGATTGTGCCAAGCAAAGAACCAAAATTGTAAGTGTAAACATAATATATTCTATCAATTATAATGTATTTTTTAGGTACATAAAAACGCCTTGAATCCCATTTGGAATGAAACTTTCCACTTTCGCGTAATGTTTCAAGATTTAGCCTTCCTAAGATTTTCAGTTATGGATTCTACAAACAATCATTTACTCTCTCAAAGGATTGTGCCGTTGCGTTGCCTTAAGCCTGGATATAGACATTTAAGGTTGCTCTTCAATAATATGTGTATTGTCAATCTAAACTAATTTTGTTTTAGATTGAAAAGTCCCCAAAACAAAAACCTAAACATGTCAACTCTTTTTATTTATTCAAGAGTAGAAGAAGAAAGTTTGGAAAATACTGAAAACAGAGAGGATACTCAAACTGAAAGTGACTCCAAAGAATCGGATAGTTTTGTTGGTAAGACACACTTAAGTTGGTTTGAGTTGCTCTATTTTACAATGCATAGTTTTAGCTACAGCTGGCACCCCAATTTGTGTCAAAAGAAAGATGTTTTTCCTGATGGTCTACGGTGTCATCCCAGAAGAACCTTCTACAATACTCAAAATCACTCAAGAATCTTCTACACAAGATGTTTTACTGCTTTGCCTACAAAAAGCTAACATTCCGATTGAGAAAGTAAACGATTACATTTTAGTAGAGGAAGTGGCTAGAGGTAAGAGCCAAGTTGATGCGAATGAGGATTTTTTTTTTAAAAGGGAAATTTCAGGTTGGGAAAAAAAAGATCACAACTTACCAGCAACTCAAAGAATTTTGGATTTGCACGAGAGACCTTTGCAAGCGCAAAGTCAATGGAAGGGCGAGGGCAAGTTTATATTGAAAAGGATGGGAAATGATCCTAGTAGTAGAGCATGGTAAGAAGCTAATAATATCATAATTGAAAACTAGTGATTGTTTTTGTTATTAGGTTAACATCTATAAGAAGCGTAGCTAATAGAGCTAGAGAAGCTAGGAAATCAGAAGGCGCTCCTAGTAATGCCTGGGAGGAAAATGACACGTTTTTAGTTTGCATTTATAACGTTTCGCCTGAAATTCCTTACGCCATCCTCAAGGTAAGTACCAAAATTGATTCAAAATTTATCTGCCAAATTTGGTCTCCAACAATTATGTCTATGGTTGGATTAATGAGGTTCCCACTGTCCTTAACGATACAAGCTGGTTTGCTGGAGAAATTTTGTTAACACACACCGAACTGGATGTATCAACCATCTACATAATGATTCCAGATTTCTGAGCAAAGTTCCTGAGCCTCTCTCCAGAAAGATGGTAGCAGTATCGTCTCGTCCTCTGTAAGAAGAGGGAAACTATGAATCCAGATAATCTGGTTGAAAGTTCCATGAGCGCAGCTTCTTGGTTGAACTGTAACTCGTTGGGTCAAACAAGGATCTGGAAACGGTCGGGGGTGAAAAGGTGTTATCTGGAAAAATACCCGTAGTCTCACAGTCAAAGATTTAGTTAAAATACCAGCCAAATTTTTTTCAGATGATACATACTCAATTATAATTTCTTTCTTTCAAATCAGATTTTTTAAATAATGATTCTTGATGTCAATGTTTTTGGTCCTTTTCGAGTTTTCATTAGACATTAGGATTGTATTGTACCATTTGTGCCAGAGACTAGGGTGGAGATGTCCATATTTTCACAAAAACCCTATTTTCGATTAATCGTAATTTTAGTTTCACCCCCTTAAACTACCCTCAAAGGTATTTGCAAGTCTTCTTAGGTACCCTAAACGGTGTATATTGGTACTGCCTATAATTTCCAGTACAATTTGTGCCCGAGACTAGGTTGGAAATGTCCATACTTACAATTTACTTATACAATAAATACTATTTGAAGAACTACAAACTAACACATTCTGATATTTATTCTTTTGAATGTGACACATGCAAATCAAAATTTAAACGGAAAAGCCATTCGAAAAACCACATACTAACACATTCGGATATTTATACATTTAAATGTGACATTTGCGATGCAAAATTTATACAAAAAAACGTTTTACTTTCTTGAACCATCCTCAAAGTTATACGTAAGTCTTCCAGTACCATCTGTGCTCGAGACTAGGGTGGAAATGTCCATATTTTCACTAAAACCCCTTTTTCGATGAATCGCAATTATAATAAGTTTCACCCCCTTTAACCACCCTCAAAGGTATATGCATATCTTCTTAGGTACCCTAAACGGTGTATAATTTCCAGTACAATTTGTGCCTGAGACTAGGTTGGAAATGTCCATACTTACAATTTACTTATACAATAAATACTATTTGAAGAACCACAAACTAACACAATCTGATATTTATTCTTTTGAATGTGACACATGCAAATCAAAATTTAAACGGAAAAGCTATTTGAAAAACCACATACTAACACATTCGGATATTTATCCATTTAAATGTGACATTTGCAATGCAAAATTTAAACAAAAAATTTATTTGAAAAACCACATATCAACATACTCAAATATTTATCCTTTTGAATGTGAAATCGTTTTACTTCCTTGAACCATCCTCAAGGTTATATGTAAGTCTTCTTAGGTACCCCAAACGGTGTATATTGGTACTGCCTATAACTTCCAGTACCATTTGTGCTGGAGACTAGGGTGGAGATGTCCATATTTTCACTAAAATCCCTTTTTCGATGAATCGCAATTATAATAAGTTTCACCCCATTAGACCACCCTCAAAGTTATTTGCAAGTTTTTTTAGATACCCTAAATAGTGTATATTGGTACTGCCTATAACTTCCAGTACCATTTGTGCCCGAGACTAGGTTGGAAATGTCCATACTTACAACTTACTTATACAATAAATACTATTTGAAGAACCACAAACTTACACATTCTGATATTTATTTTTTTGAATGTGACACTTGCAAATCAAAATTTAAACGAAAAGGCGATTTGAAAAGTCACGAATTTACACATTCGGATATTTATCCTGTCCAATTTGACACATGCGAATCAAAATTTAAACGGAAAAAACCATTTGAAGGAACACAAATTAACACATTCTGATATTAATCCCTTTGAATGTGACACATGCAAATCAAAATTTAAACGGAAAAGCCATTTGAAAAACCACATAATAATACATTTGGATATTTATCCATTTGAATGTGACATTTGCGATGCAAAATTTAAACGGCTATTTGAAGATTCACAAACTTACACATTTGGATACTTATCCATTTGAATGTGACATTTGCGATGCAAAATTTAAACAAAAAAAACTATTTGAAAAACTACATATTAACACACAGATATTTATCCTTTTGAATGTGAAATCGTTTTACTCCCTTGAACCATCCTCAAAGTTATACGTAAGTCTTCTTAGGTACCCCAAACGGTGTATATTGGTACTGCCTATAGCTTCCAGTACCATTTGTGCTCGAGACTAGGGTGGAAATGTCCATATTTTCATTAAAACCCCTTTTTCGATGAATCGCAATTATAATGTTTTACCCCCTTAGACCACCCTCAAAGTTATTTGCAAAATTTCTTAGGTACCCTAAACAGTGTATATTGGTACTGCCTATAACTTTCAGTACCATTTGTGTCCGAGACTAGGGTGGAGATGTCCATATTTTCACTAAAACCCCTTTTTCGATGAATCGCAATTATAATAAGTTTCACCCCCTTTAACCACCTTCAAAGGTATTTGCAAGTCTTCTTAGGTACCCTAAACAGTGTATATTGATACTGCCTATAACTCCCAGTACCATTTGTGCCCGAGACAAGGGTGGAGATGTCCATATTTTCACAAAAACCCTATTTTCGATGAATCGTAATTTTAGTTTCACCCCCTTAAACCACCTTCAAAGGTATTTGCAAGTCTTCTTAGGTACCCTAAACGGTGTATATTGGTACTTCCTATAATTTCCAGTACAATTTGTGCCCGAGACTAAGTTGAAAATGTCCTTACTTACAACTTACTTATAGATACAATAAATACTATTTGAAGAACCACAAACTAACACATTCTGATATTTATTTTTTTGAATGTGACACATGCGAATTAAAATTTACACGGAAAAACCATTTGAAGGATGACAAATTAACACATTCTGATATTTATCCTTTTGGATGTGACACATGCAAATTAAAATTAAAAAGGAAAAGCCATTTGAAAAACCACATACTAACACATTCGGATATTTATTCATTTGAATGTGACATTTGCGATGCAAAATTTAAACAAAAAAACTATTTGAAAAACCACATATTAACACACTCAGATATTTATCCTTTGGAATGTGGAATCGTTTTACCTACTCCCTTGAACCATCCTAAAAATTATTTGCAAGTCTTCTTAGGTACCCTAAACGCCTATACATTGGTACTGCCTATAACTCACAGTACCATTTGTGCCCGGGGCAAGGGTGCAAATATCTGTGTTTTGATAAAAACCTGTTTTTCGGTGAATTGCAGTTAATATTAGATTTACCCCCTTAAACCACCTTCAAAGTTATTTGCAAGTCTTCTTAGGTACCCCAAATGATGTGTATTGGTTGTATATTGTCATAACTCTCAGTATCATTTGTATCCAAGACTGGGTGGAAATGTCCATATTTCACTCACACACATAATGGTTTCAGGTTCCTCTCAACGCATGTGCCCAACACGTTTTAGCCCAAGCGCTGCTCAAAGCGCGCAGGTTAGAAGACCCGATGAACTTCGTCATCGTCGAAGAGCTGGAGTGGGGCGGTGCTGCGCACAACATCCAACAGCGTGCTTTAAGTGATTACGAAAATGTTTATACTGCGCAGTCCTCGTGGCAAACAATAGGGCGATTTATTTTACAGGTTAGTAAATATCTCTGGCTTCTAAACTTGCATTAAAACTGTTTTACTTTAGGAAAGGGCAAACGCAACTCCTACTGCCTTGAGGAAAAATAAAATCACTTCTAGTTTAAGGCTAGCCACTCTGGAAAGGATTAGTAGAGGGTTGAGTGTAGCTAGAAACGTAGCCAGTAACAGTATTAAAGTGCCAGTACAGGTAGGAATATTAAACTTTCCAAATTTCTTCAAAGTTATTTATTTGTCCTTTGTAGGTGGCATTGAGTGACCCCACAGCTACCAAACAGGTCAAAGGTTTGCCTCCGACCCGTTCTAAACTAAACTCGGAACAGAACGCATCGAGCAGCTCGAAAAAGTCCAGAGAAATCCATTCCGAGGGTGAAACATTGTCCGACGACGATCAGAACAGGGACGGCGAAATGTTGTCTGCAGTTTCCAGATTGAAAAAAGTTTCCATGAGAAAGTTCAAAGAATGGAAGTCTTGACTAAGCGCTGATTAGATTTAATTTGTTAATTTGTTCCTCGAAAATTTTGTTCTAGAACCAAACTATTTTCAGTTAAAAAGCTTTAAAATTCAAACCCCAAAAAATATTCGTTAACCGATTAGTTAAGTTTGTACGTTACCTATAAATATTTATATGTATAAAATATAGAGATACCTAATAACTTATTTGAAATAAAATATATAATAGGGACTATTGAAATAATTCGCACTTTATAATATATTGTATTTTTGATTAATAAGGCGTTAATTGATAATTATGCGGGGCATTTAAAAAAAATATATATATAACGCCGGACGTGAATGTAGCTGTTTTTAAAGAGTTCAACATAAAATTAGAAACAATTTATCATTAAGAAAAATAAATAGAGTGTAAGTTTTTATCCTATCACCATATCTTTATTGGAGTTTTAAGTGGCGAAACTATATATTTTTGTCATCAAAATGATTATTGTCATCGTAATAGTGATTTCGATTATTTCCTTCCTCTTATTCTATAGCTTTATATACTTACCTACAAACAAAAAAAAGAAGAGTATATAATAATTTTTATGATTGTAATATATTGCTATATTATAAAGTCTCCACTATTATATACTTCAGTACAAAGCATAAAGTTTATTGTTTTTATGTAACTAAATAAATTTAAAATAATATTGTTAATATTTAACAATTATTTATAAAAATAAAAAATGTTAAAACAAGTTTTAAGAAGTTTTATTTTTGTATTTGGTCCTACAAGTTTCTGACTTCATAGTTTGATACTTATAACAACCAATTTTGATTTATTCAATATGGTTTTATAGAGAATTTAATCCTCTCTCAGAAAATTGATAATACAAGTTGATTCGTTGAGATTTACTAAAACTATGAGCAAATTTCTGAAGCCATGTCAAATTATAGGAGAGAAATATATTGAGATCAAAATTGAGATTTTCTTTTCTCATAAAATAACCCTTTTCAAAATAGTGTGGGATATGTTTTCAACTAATTTTAGTCTCCTCTTTCAATTGAAAAATTGAAAATTGGGAAAATTTGAAAATTCGAAATTTTTGATTTTTCAGCCCACAAATATTTTTTATGCAAAATCTTCAATTGTTAATATCTGGGTAACCATGGAAGGTATCGAATCAAATTTTTCAAATATTGTAGTTCTCATTAAGTACTTCAATACCTTATTCACTAAATATTTACCTATATCACTTATGGTTTTTGAGTTTTTTGAACTTGAAGTTTTTGACAAAATCACAGTAGAGTTTCAAGTTTGAAGTCTAATTTCTCGAAGCCTATAGAATCAACTAACTTCATATTTGGAGATTTTATAGAGAATTTAATCCTCTTTCTGAAAATCTATAATACAAGTTGATTTATTGAAAATTACCAAAACTATGAGCCAATTTCTGAAACCATGTCAAATTATAGGAAAATTTCTGAGATGAAAATTAAGATTTTCTTTTAACTTTTTTTTTCCCATGAAACTACCCTTTTCAATATAATGTGGGATATTTTTTCAGCTAATTTTAACCTCCTCTTTCAATTGAAAAAGTTAAAATTTGGAAAATTTGAAAATTCCAAAGTTTTAATTTTTCAACCTACCAGTCCCTTTGGATTTTTTATTCAAAATCTTCAATTGGTTATATCTGGGTAACCATGGAAGATATCTAATCAACTTTTTCAAAGATTGTAGCTTGATTTCCTGTCCCAAAATTGAAGGATTTAAATGCATTTCTAGTTCAAATTTTAACTTGGAGAGAGTTAGTTCCAAAATTTTCAAGTTCAAAAATGACTTTTGTGACCTCTAGTCCAATTTCAACCATAGAATGAAGAGAAATCCGGATTTTGTATGTATTTTAAGTAGAATTCTGGCCAGTAGTTCCAGGAATAAGATTTTCATGGTTCTCTAGATCAAATTTTAGCTCTAGGAGCGTTGATTATGAAATTTTTAAGGTTCTCCATTTTAATTTTAGCTCAAGGAAGTTCAAAAATGACTTTTGTGACCCTCTCTGGTCCAACTTCAACTATAAAATGGTGAGAAATCAGGATTTTGTAGATCTTTCAGTTAAATTTGGACTTGATGAGAAATCGAAGTTTTGCGTGTCTTTTGCTTAATTTTGACACACTCATGATTTTCCACTTCAAATTTCTGCACTAGGAGAGCCGGGAAGAGGATTACTACTATATTTTACTCTATGATTAGATTAAAAAATTCACAATTGAGAGTCTTATACCTACTTTTCTAGTTCAAATTATTCTCCAGACGAGTCCTTGAAACACAAATCCTGAGTATTAAAAAGAATCTTCAAAGTCTGTAGAATATTAAAGTCTTGAATAACTCAATAAAATCTCAAAAGGTGAATGCTCTCTCTATAATCACGCTGTATATTGTTAAATTACGTTTCTGACATACTCTAAAATTACTTTTATACAGTAGTTCAGGGTAATTAGCCAATTATGAGCGAAAATTTCTTAAAACAAAATGTAAAGTTAAACATTGGTAAACGGGTAGCTTTTAGTATCGTAATTCCTAATTTCTGGTGTTGCAGCCTGTGCCGGGTGGTGGGGACGCAGGACATTTTTGGGGTCTTTTTGTAGGTATCAAACCCCAAGTAAAGGTAGATTTATCACCTTTGGTAATTGATACGGATTTTATTTTATTTATTACCTGCATAGGTTGGTAACATTTTTATATGTCTTTGGGAGGTTACGCATGTGACATATTTTGATGAGACACTGAAAAATAGCAGAGCAGGACTGAAACATATTTTTATATTTTGAAAAAAAAAATATATGATTGGCGAGATTCTCAGTAGACATGGCCATGAAGTTTTGAGATTTCCTCCATACCATTGTCAAAATAATCGTATTGAGATGGCATGGGGGTTTACTAAGAACTTTCACAATAAGCACATAAACGAGGAGGCTTCATCGTAAAACAAATTTGTAAGTTTATGGAAAAAGGCCTATATTCCAGACATGTGGCAAAATTCTGTTAGGCATTGTGAAATTTTGATACACGAGGACTGGGAGAAAATAATGGGAAACACTAGATTCGACTACATTCCTCCTATCATCATTTGCTTCAATAAGTCAGATTCTGATTCCGAAAGCTTGATAGATTCTGATAAAGAAATTATAGACACCTCAAGGTGTTTCCATTCTTATCTATTTTTGTGATGTTGCAATCCAGTTTGTCGAAATCCTTCTGATATCGTCTGACCAGCGAGTGCAAGGTCAATCAAGGCTGCGTTTTTCATTTCTAGGCCGCCACACGAGAATTCTTTTGGTCCATCTCCCATCCGTCAGTCGTGCGAGATGTCCTGCCCATATCCATTTGAGCTTTGAAATACACTCTCTCACATCGACTACTTTTGGCCTTATACCATACCGTTCTGCTGAATAAACATGAAACCAAAATGCTAGACCAAGCATAATTCGCCATTCTATATCCATGGTCTTCTCTCGTCTGGGTCGTTCCTAAGAAACTTGATGCTTCTGGCAAACCCAAATGGCGCGTCGTAATCGACTACCGTAAAGTCAACGAACTTACTGTAGACAACAAATACCCGCTGCCTAGTATTTCCGATCTTCTGGATCAATTGGGAAAATGTCAATATTTTACCACCCTTGACCTAGCCTCAGGTTTTCACCAAATAGAAGTAGATCCCAAGGATGTTTCGAAACCCGCTTTTTCTGTAGAAAATGGCCATTATGAATTCGTACGGATGCCATTTGGATTGAAAATGCCCCGTCCACATTCCAAAGACAAATATTCTCTTCGGCATTCAAAACAAGAGATACAAGATTATTGGTTCATTTCAACGGTATTAAAAGTATCTTACTCAAAGTATAAAAATATGCCTCAGTCCTGCTCTGCTATTTTTTAGTTTGTCATCATAACCTCCCAAAGACATATGAAAATGTTTACCAACTTATGCAGGTAATAAAAATAAAATTCCTATCAACTACCAACTGAAAGGTGATAAATCTTACCTTTAGTTCAGACTTCGGATTGTGAATAGATTATAGTTACCCTAGCGTTGAACAAAGGTTATATTCCTATCTCGGACAGTTTGAAATGCCTATTGCAATCAGTTATGAATTCCAAAGGTAAAAACTCGTAGCCCTCAGAAAAGAAAATTGTTACTGTGGCCAATTCTATAATAGCTGCGGCTCGGCCAATAAATTATTTATCTCCCTTGCAGGTTGGCCTAAGAATATATTTACAAAGGATATTTGCATTCAGAACACTTATTGACATGTTGTCCAATGTAGGAATTTTTATTTTTCACAAATAAGTGTTAAAATACGAAAATGCATTAAACGAAAATGACCTTATGAGGATAGATTCCAAAGCATTTCTATACAATGCGGACCATAATAATCTAACAATTGACATTCATGGAACATTCCATGTGATGGCAGGAATTGAATGTCTCACACTGGCTAACCTACTTCAAAACTCCTCGACCAAAAAAGCTTACAAATGCTGACACTATTGGCCAATACGGAAACATTAAAATAAAAATATACAAACGCAGACAAAAATGCGATTTGACCAAACTGATTTTTTTCTAAAATCGGTCTTCAAAAAATAGAGCATACCTACTGCTGCCAAGGTAGCACAACTTATAAATATTCTATGGATGTCCGGTTCTAGCTTTTTTGATATCCCCCTTCCGGTTTGGAGTGGTTTTATGGATATTTCAATGAGAAATCAAAGTCAGGAATTTCAAACATCAGCAATATGTCCCGTACCTTTAGCAAATATGTCACCTGCAAATCCAGCAACTGTCTTCAACATGCACTAGAAGAACGCAACCATCGAGGACAAAAAATATGTATTATAACGTTTGATCAACCGTTATATGTTAAAGCGTTAGATATTGTTTTGGCAGCCGAAAGGGAAAGTCCTTTGTCAACAGTTATTATTTGTCTCGGTGGATTTCACCTTTCAATGTCGTATATGGTCGCTATTAGTTATATAATGGAAGGAAATGGTATTGAAGAGTTGTGGGAACAAGTTTAAGCGAAAAATACTCTGTACTTAAACAATAACTTATTATAAGGTCAAAATTTGTAAGATTATGATTATTCACTTTTTGTCAACTTGCCTTTCAACAGAAATTATTAATGTTACTTACTTTACCAAACTAATAACATAATGTGACAAGTTATTCAAGTACAAATGAGTGATTTGTTGCGGAACTTATAGGTGGACCTCTGCGGGACGTCCCGTAGAGTTCCACCCATAAGTTCCGCAACAATCCACTTATTTCTACTTGAACAATAACTTATTATATAAAGTCAGAATTTATAATATTAACTACTTTTTGTCAATTTGCCTTTTACCAGGAATTAGTAATGTTACTTTACTCAACAAGTAATATATTCTGACAAGTTATTCAAGTACAAACTAGTTGATTATTGTTGCGGAACTTATGGATGGACCCAGCCATCTATTCTTCAATATGTTATTCAAGTACGATACTAACCTGACTCACTCAAATGTGAATTATTCTCATTAGTTTGAAAAGTACACATTTCAAGTGTCTTATTTGAACAGTTCAACAGTATATTAGTGACTAGATGGCTGCGGAACTCACT